ATAACTAAGTATGATAGCTTGGGTGGGGTTGGTGTAATCTTGAAAAGGAGGAAATAATACTCAAAACAAATACAGAGTTGTTGCCATTTTATAAAAGTCAGTATTTTTAGATCTCAAATAAAATGAAGTGTTTGGTATGTGTGGTTTGTGGCAGGAATCTAGATCGCACTGTGACATTCTGCAACTGTTAAATATAGTTTACCTTGAATCAAGGGACAGAGTTAGTGACTAGCTGGCCAGAACTGGTCATAGAGAAGCCATGATGTGGATGAAGAGACACAGAATGAAAGAAGGAGGGACCTGAGTATGGGTGCTTCCTTTTTGGTTTTGGGATGAGTGAAGAGACACTTCTCTCTTGATGGGTCTCTGGCCAAAAGCAAGGCCAGCTGGTTGCTTCTCAAGCCTCTCTGAGCTAGCAGGTTTTCACCCCAACACCTGACTCCTGAGTCTGTGTTGGTACATACAACAATAGAGACTTAGTTTAAACTTGATAGCGTGGCAGAGCCGGGGATGTGGGACCAGAAGGTCCTCTAGGCTGCAGTCTGAGTGGCCAGAAAGGTGATGACTGTGGGGCCATGGGGTCAGGAGTTTCATGTACAGCTGCTAAGCTGACAGTAAAGCACAGTGGTTTTCTTCCTGTGTATGTGAGTGTGCATGCATGTGTGCACATGGATAAACATAGAGGTCGAAAGACAACTTCCAGTGTCAGTTCTCACACACATTCTACCTTTTCTGAGACACAGGGTCCCTCACTTGCCTGGAGCTTACCAGGAGTGCTAAGTCATCTGGCCAGTAAATTTTGTGGATCAACCTGCTTCTGTGTTCTCTGTGGTGGGGTTACAGGTGTATGTCATCATGTCCAGTGTTTTTAATCTCTTACATTGATTCTGGAATATCAAACTTTAAGCAAGCACTTTGCCCTTCCCACATTTGTAGGTTTTCTTTAACAGTAGCATAACTGCCAGAAGGGGATTAGTTAAATAAATCTGTGTTCCTCGCCCAAGCAAAAGATTTTAGAAGATGTTTTGATAGAGGAAACAAGATCCAAGGGGGATATTATTTTTAATGAAAATAAAAAATAGAGACAATTCAACTGAAAAGAATTTGAAATTAAGGTGGAGATTGATGAATTGGACCAAATAAGTCTTAACTGAGATCTCAAGAAATCCAGGCCTAGGAAAATAGAGTCACCATTTACTGAGGCAGAATGAAGCCATGGAGACATATATATTTGTACTCAAGGCTCCCAAATCAAATATACATGAGCACAAGAAACAGCAGTGCATTTAACAGAGAAAGCTGAGATCAGAAGACATGAGGAGAACAGTAAGAAAAGAGACGGGAGAAACTAGGTGAGAGAGGTCTTGGCTAGATCAACCATGCGTGCCCATGTTCTTTCCTTCAGAAGTGGCTCCTAGTAGTTTGATGGTTCCTTCAAATACACAGATGCATCCTTGGGAACATGGCCAAGTCTTCTGACAGCTTAGAGCTTCCAGTTCTGGTTTGGAAGGTTTCATTCATCAGCCTTGCTCTCCCCCCATACTTAGATATGGTTCCCGAAGTTTCTGGCCAATAGAGCTCTGAGCATGTCCACTTCTGTGTCCCCGTACCTTGACCAGGAAGTTGGAGAGCTAGGCAGGATTGGGGCCAGGAATTCACCTGGTTGGGTCTCTGAAGACTCTAGTGATGGTGTCACTGTCGTTCAGTAAACAGCAAATAGAAGCAGTCAGTTCAAAGGTCATCACAAACATAGCCACTGCACTGAAAGCCCTTTTCTCCATCACATATTTTTCACATAAACAACAGAATGTTGTCCCCACTGTTGGCCTTTGAGTTGTTAGTCAGCTGCTGACCTCATAATCTGCACAGCTGTGGCTTCCCCGAGTTGTCATGGAACAGATTGGGATGTCTTAATGGATCACTTTCCGAGGTTACAATTGTCAAGTGAGACCAGCCTGCTGATTCTTATTAGCTAAATTAAGCTATGTTACAGCAGAACTGGCTAATTCATTATAATGGCTTGGAAATCCAATACAAATTGGCACACCCAAGGCTTTTCTTTCTGATTTTTTGTTCTGTGAATGCTGTACTGAAAATATGGTTTTATTACCTATTTAAGGACCTTGTTGGAATGGTCAGTGGAATGTAATCTTGTTGCCCATATGCATGGTGGTGGTTGGAGCAAGCCATGCAATAAATACATGGTTAATAATGGGCATTGGTGTACACAATTCAGGAAGATCATGGAGGACATTGTTGTGGCTAATGGATGTCAAATCCTACCCAAAATTAAAAGAACACTCTTCCATGTTGTCTCAAAGAATGCAGATTTCTAAATGACAAGATAATGCCTTAGACAACACCTGACCCTAAAAGTCCCTCTGTTGTACCTTCATTTAATAGAGCCTTGGTGATGAAACCGGCATAGAAACCCAGTGTTCAAGTGTCTTAATATGCTCATCCACTTTGGGCAGACCTCTTGTACCCTGGTCTGGTGTATCGGCTGCTTACTGCAGTTCATCATGGTGATACACAATTTCTTCATCACAGTGTAGCTGTTTGTTTAATAGTGCAGCAGGTGGCCCAGGCTAACCTCCAGTTCTGCAGATCAGGGAGAATGACCTTGAGCTCAGGATCCCCCTGCCTCTGCTTCTCAATGGCTTGGGTTACAGGCATCCACCACCATGCCTGTTGATCACAGAGGTATTTATTTTAAATGTCTGTCTATTTTTATTGTATATGTGCATGTGTGTATTGGGGAAAGTATACCATGTGCATGCTGAGTGCTGAGAGAGGCTAGAAACAGGTCCAGGATCTACTAGAAACAGGCTTCCAGATGGTTGCGGGCCACCCTATGGGTGCTGCACACTGAGCCCCACTGCTTTGTGCAAGAGCAAGAAGTGCTTGGAAGCACTGATCCATTTCTCCAGCCTGACTGCAATGTTCTAAGGCATCTTACATATGGACCCGAGTGGCTCCAGCAGGTTGTGTTTTTTCTAATTCTTAGTTTTGACAACTCACACAGATGCCTTTGCCAGATGTGTACACATCAGTAAATAAAAAGGAAAGGAAACAAGTTTAAGCTAACACCATAACTGTTGACTCCAAAATACTCCAGGGATCACAAAGATGTTTTATAGAAGTACTTTTTTATAGTAGAAAATAAAGTGGAAAATAGCTGGATGCCCAGCAGTAGGCAAATAGATACATTGTGGCATATCCATATAATTGAACAAAGAGTGGGCATTAAAATTTTCTCCAAGGATTATTCACTGATACAGGAAAGGTCAATACAAAAACCAAAGTCACGGATTTGTGTAGTTGGCGTTTCTCAACCTGCCTACAATAGCCTATGTAGAAAGAGGAAAACGTGGTGAAACATCTGTCATCATCGAGTGGTGGATATATGAATAAATTTAGTTTTATTCTTTTTTCACCTTTTTAAGGCTTCATAGTGAGACCATATTACTTTAACACTTAGTGTGAGACAAACATTTAAAGCAGTTTGAGATTTCTTATGAGATGTATCATAGTGGTCTTTACTCCAGGCAATGGAGCTGTCAACAGTTGTTAGTATCTGCCAAGACTTCCCTGTCTAGATGGCAGATACGGCAGGAGGAACGTTAGGACAGGACCCTCTGTGAGAGAAGCTATTCTCCAGAAAGCACAAAATACATTGGGGTTCAGATTCGGGATCACAAAGTGCAGTCTTATAGACGGTGGGTGAGAAAGATGCGTATCGCCAAAGCGTGTCTCTCTTGCTGTTTTGAAGATGGAGTAAGTTCTTCCTGTGGAGAAGAAGTAGCAAAGGTAATGTGTGTGATTATTTTAGGAGGCAAGAAAAATAGAATACTGCTGAGAGCAGTGAGGCCTGCGTGTGTGAGTTAGAAGATGCAGACTTAGTGGGCCTGAGAGACGGCTTAGAGGTTAAGGACATGTTCTGCTCTGGCAGAAGATCTTCGTGTGATTCCCAGCACCCATGTCAGGTGGTCTGTCTCATGGGATCTGATTCACCCTCCTGGCCTCCATAGACATTGGCATGAATATGCATGCACAGACACATGAACACACGCACGCACGCACACACGCACACACACATAAACACAGAGAGAGCAGACTTGACTCCACCACTGCAATTGGTTTGTTTGTTTGTTTTCGAGACAGGGTTTCTCTGTGGCTTTGGAGGCTGTCCTGGAACTTGTTCTTGTAGACCAGGCTAGTCTCATGCTCACAGAGATCTGCCTGTTTCTGCCTCCCGAGTGCTGGGATTAAAGGTGTGCACCACCAACACCTGGCCTGGAATTATATTAACGACACGCCCTGAGCATCCAGTGTGTTGCTTCTGAGTCTGTTAATTCCATGGGGAGTCATTCAGGATTTCAAGATGTGAGCATGCCTCTCTGTGTGCTCAAGAGAGGACTACCCTCATCCATCTAAAACCAATTTAAGCATAGAGGGCCATGAATACGAAGGCTTGGAGACTTGGAAGCATCAGCGTGAGAGTGTCACTGTCTTAGGTGGGTTTGGGTTGTGTATGTCTCCTTCAGGGCCTGCCTCATCACCTGCTGCCGCCTTCATTTCCACCAGCTGCCACCTGCCCGTGCATGCATGTCACCAAATATAGTATAGGAGTCTAATATGCAGCACTGGAGTTCTTCATGTAGCCAACATACTATCAGAGAAATCAAATGGCTTCGTATTTTCTTATTTCACTTGAAATTACAGGTCTACTAAATTTGTAAAACTCATCATTTAAAGTGAAAATGAATGACTGTCTTCCCACATAATCTTAAACTAGCACTGGGATACAGAAAATAAGCCTTCTTCAATGGTATTTACTTTTCTAATAAAAGCCCACTGCCAACTCAAAAGCCTGCAGCAGAGACTGCATGGCAGATATGCATAGGAGATAATTCCATATCCAGGAGTTATGCTGTAAGTGACAGTCTGGTTCCTCGAGACAGTTCCTTGACAACAGTCTTCGCTTTTCTCTTTTTCAGCCTTTGCAGCTGGACTGTGGCCATTGTGCCATAGTGTCAAATTCAGGCCAGATGGCTGGGCAGAAGGTGGGTGAGGAGATAGACCACTCTTCCTGCATCTGGAGAATGAACAACGCCCCCACCAAGGGTTTTGAGGAAGACGTTGGCCACGTGACGATGGTTCGAGTTGTATCACATACCAGCGTTCCTCTTTTGCTAAAAAACCCTGACTACTTTTTCAAGGAGGCAAGTGCCACCATTTATGTTATCTGGGGCCCTTTCCGCAACATGAGGAAGGATGGGAACGGTGTTGTTTACAACATGTTAAAAAAGACAGTTGAGCAGTACCCCAGTGCGCAGATTTACGTGACCACGGAGCAGCGGATGAGTTACTGTGACGGAGTGTTTAAGGAGGAAACTGGGAAAGACAGGTGAGTCCTCTCTGAAATGGCCTCGTTGACTTCCAATGTCTTTTCTGGTGGATCTTTGCTGGGGCACTTTGCCAGCTATCAAATGAACAGAGTTAATTTTTAAAGCGATTGCTTCCTGTTCTTGGTTATGGTGATGACTTCATGAGATGACAATGAGGTTCCATTAATTCCGCCTACACTGCCTTCTGTGACTTCGTTTTCATAGGTTTGAAGCTCCGAGGAATGGCAGATAGTTCTCTGAAATGTCTGTAGATCTCTTCCTATGTAGCTCAGTTTGTTATTGATTAAATCGGATCTTTGCCTAAAAGAGGACGACTTCACATTTTCTGTTTCAAAACAGGAATACTCAGGAGTCTTGGGTTTTTAATCCTTCTTAACTGGGTACTGTGGCTCCCTCGGCCTCCCTGAGACCAGAGGCAGGATAGACTGTGGATCCCCTAGTAGCATTGCCCAGGTCCTTACCTGTGATCTTGAATACTACACTAACCAAAATACCATATTGATATTATGTATTACTTAAAATCATTAGCACTTGGACTATTAAAAAGAAATGAGGTAAAAATATCCTTTGCTCAATTATTCAGAAATCAGCCTACATACTTTGTGGCTTGTCCTTTCCTGTCCCATTCTCCAGTCACCACCCCACCTTGCAAATTCTCCTCACATTCCTCTTCCTCGTCTCTCACTTCCTCTCCTGGCTCCTTCACTGTCCTCACCTATTGGGCAACTCTACCAGCTGCTGGTTTTCCTGCCTCTTGAGAAAGACAACCAGAACAAGTGAGGGAAGTGAAATTACAAACCGAATCAATCTTGGCTGATATTCAGCACTAATGAAGAATTGCTGGAGAAGATCCACAAACCTGTGCCTGAAGTTTTAAATTATATGTGAATTTTGCTTATTTGTGCAATACAAGGAATAAATTGAGCTTCAACTGTAATTGCAGTACTAACCCTCTGATTTTCTTAAAATGCCTGCCTGTCTTTTACTGCTCAATATTATCGAATAGAAGGTGGTAACTATTGGGCAATTGGTTGAGGAGAGTTGGGATTTGTGGTCTCCAGGTGTAATTTCAGTGCTCATCATGAGCGAACAGTCCTGGCAGGGGACTTTTTGTGGTCTGTTTTTTCAGCTAAATATCTGCTACTTCCACCTGTAACAGTGCCTTTTTTTAACCCTCTTAATAAAGTGCATGTATTATATTTTATCATATGCATGCATGTGCACATACACACATATATGCACAGAGACAAACACAACACACACACACACACACACACACACACACACACACACACACACGTACACACTCAGGAGGACCAATGGACCTATTGATAGTTTGGGTTGATTTTCACTTAGTATTTTCTACTTCTGAGACCCTAAAATACAGCTTCACCTAAAATGCAAGACAGAACAACACTATAATGTGAGTACCTCTTCTGCAGGAAGAACCTCAAAAGTTAGATCCAAACCGGTGTAGCATAAGCCATCCAAAGAGGCAGGCAGATCTGGTGTTTGCAGACACTGCACTCACGTGTGGTACTGTTCTGTATGACCATTCTCCTGAGGCTCCAGAAACCTCTGGTCTCTCACTAGCCCCAAGCAACACAATTAATTAGATGTATTTGGTTTCTCATTAGAGCTATCCCTTAGGGTACCCCTCAGTTACAACGATAAGCCTGAGGATCATTTGGGGGTATCAGAGAAGAGCTTAGTGTGGTATTTGTTCATAGTGCTTGAATCACGTTGGCTTTTTACTGTGAGAATTCATTGAGACAGCACTGCCACAGAAGCATGATAGTAGAGAGATTAGAGAATAGCATTAGGGGGTTGTTTCCTATGTCTGTGATGAGCAAAGCTGCTTAGATTGTCAGTTTTGCTGTCTTGGTAAAATTAGTTTGCAGATATCCACCAAAGCTAAAGTCATTTTAAAGGTCAAATAATTTTACAGTTCATTTTTGCTTCTTTTATTCCTTTTCCACTGTTATTCCTTGCCACTGTTATTTCGTTGGCTAGTGAAAGCAGGAGAATTAAAGTATATAAATTCTTTAGAACTCTGTAGAAGGGATGACAGTAGGATTTGGCTGGTCTGTATGCTGTTGACAAAATGACCTCAAAGCCTTCTAATCTCCATTATGATCTAAATTTAGCCCTCTGTGTGCTGACTGTAATGATTTTCCATGGTTCTTTGGCACACAAAGACAAATTTCAGATGGCATCTCTGAGTACGCTTATGTTTGTTGTACACGCGTGGAAACTGGATGTGGGAGTCCGCTGTTCTCTGTCTCTCTCTGCCTTGCTGTTTGAGAAGGGATCTCTCATTGAGCCTGCAACTTCCCATGTCAGCTAAGCTGACTGGGCGGTGAGCTGCCAGGGTCACTTCGGGGCTTATAGATGCTCAGGGCCCTGCCAGGCTTTCACATGTGTTTTGGGGATTTAAACTGAATTTAGTTTTGCATCAAGGGTTGAGCTGTATCCACAGCCTGAACAATATCTTTGAAGAACTTGTTAGAAGGGAAATGTCACACTCACACAGCAGAGCCTGGCAGCCTCATCATATCTGTAGAGCCTGCCCTCAGCTTGAGGAATTACTAACTGATGGCCAGTCTTAGTTCAGCTGAATCCCACACACTTTCTCCTTCCCTCGGCATTATTTTGAAGGGAACCCCAGACTTCATTGTATCCCATGTTTAAATATCTTACTGTGTATTTTTAAAAGATAAAAGAAAAGCTCTACATCCTACATGGGATGCAGACACTTCATACCATCGTATGTTTCCTTGGCTGCAATGGTCAGTGGTTGTCTTCTACATATATTTTAAGTGGTGCTTTGAATCAGAATTAATATGTTGTCCATGCATTATAATCAAGTGGTGTATTTCCTGTGTGTGTACTTACCCATATAGGTGTTTCTCTGCACCACTTCTCATTGAAGAAACCTAGCCACATGGGTTTTCTACCATTTGTTAGTTTTACTAACTTCTCTTCATGTTATTTCTTCTACATTGGTTTTTATGTGTTGAAATTGATTAGATTCAGATCCAATTAATATTTATTTCTTTGCCAATAGCATCATGTGGTACTTGTAAAGGAAGAATATTATACATTTTTCTCTTTTTTATGGTAGAAACCACTAGTGCCAAGTGTCTAGAGGAAGAGTATTAGGGTTGCAAAGTGGTGTTTATCTTATCTTTCGATGGCTGGTATACTTTTCATAGAGAAACTTGCCCTCATTTGGTTACCATCAGACAGAAGACTGGCTCTGATGCATTAGTTCCTTGGCATCCTCTGAATTGACCCTCATGTTCATAACTTCTAATGTTACATACTAACAATTAAGGGTATCTGAAATTTTATAATTCAATTTATTATAAAGTATATCCTAGGTTCTGAATGTCTTATTTTAGCCTGTGGGAGCCTCTTCACATTGACTTTATATGCCTTTGATGCTCAAATAGGGGTCATGGGTAGCTTGCTTCCTCCCTCCCTCCCTCCCTCCCTCCCTCCCTCTCTCCCTCCCTCATATTATAGGGATCTCAACACTTACCTATAGCCTCCTGTGGACATGTATTTAGACATCCTCCAAAAAGCCTCGATTCTTCTAGTTGTTAAAAGAACATAAACCATGGCACTGTGGCATTCATTATTACAATTTAGATTTTTGTTTCTTGGCCTTTAGAGTGGGTAGAGATACACTATAAACAATGTATGCTGTGAGTGTTGTTTATAAATAAGATCATCATGATGCTCAAACTGTGCCTTTCCATTAGAACTCAGGCCCACCAGGCTTTCATCTTAGCATACGTGTCTTACATGTGTCTGTGTCTTCTTTCTGTCAGGCTGCCAACCAAAGGTCCCAGAAACAGGGTTCCAATTAATCATTTGCTTTATCTTGCAGTACATAGTAAACTTCGAGTTATGGAAAATCAGGTATGTGACCATTGCAAGCCTTTTGGGAGTACTGTGCACCAAAGATGTATCAGTGGCAGGCATTCATGCCAGACACGGAAGGGTGCATCCATTGGCTATGTCTCCCCCAAAGATTGCAGTTACTCCGTGGTATGCACACACAGCCACAGGCAGAAAGGAGTAAGGAACAAGGGGGCTCAATTTAAGTTCACTTGTATTGTAAAGCTGCTTCACTACATTTGCTTTTACTCTCAGAATTTATCAGCAAGTTCTCATTTTTGTCTTTATGTTTGGTGGGGCCCAATCTCATGGCCTTAGACCTCCCAGGCAAATACTATACCACTGAGATAACACCCACAGTCATCAGATTCTAATGGAGAGATCATATCACTGTCAATTTACAGGATGAAAATGTTGATGTCACTGATATTTATTTAAACTTATTTTTGATAGAAACATTATTAAGTTTAGTTCATCAAAGGAAAACAGTTCTCGGCCCTTCTTTCTTTCTTTCTTTCTTCCTTTCTTTCTTCCTTTCTTTCTTTTTCAGTTCTCAAAGTTCTTTTTCAAAAGTATAGCTTTGGGCTGGTAAGTTGCCTCCATGGATAAAGGTGTCTGTCCCCACAAGTTGTGGAAGGAGAAAACTGATTCTTGTAGGTTGTTCTCTAATCTCCATACACTCTCCATGGTGCATGTGTGGACATGAACCCCAACACACAGCTAAACAAATGTTGGGTAGGCCTGGTGTTTGCATATTCCCCGAGCTTTCTTTTCTTTCTTACCATGACTCCTTGCTGAGGAAGTGTATGGCGGTGGAAGCAATTCGCATGCGCTTACATTTCTTGGAGTGATCCTAGACCAAACCTTACATATATTGGAATAGTTTTCAAACCAATTGAGAATCTGTTGTTCTCATATTAGTTACTGCCTAAAACTCCCGCTTGTCGTCAGTATGGCCTGTGGGCAGCCTCAGAGCTGACACAGGGGACATCCCGTCCATTCTCTAGAGGTATCTGATTACTGGACACTGGGCACCCTTATGGCTTTGCTCATCAAATGTAATTCTGATAAATAAGAATTATGAATTCTGTAG